GCTCTCATTGTAAATAAATATCAACATTATAGGTAATCTATGCAATGTTACTGTTTGGTTAACATGGACACTGTACTTTCTTACCTTTTCTTTTGCCAGGGTCGTGCTGAACAAGGCTGACCAGATAGAGACACAGCAGTTGATGAGAGTGTATGGAGCCCTAATGTGGTCACTGGGGAAAATAGTCAACACCCCTGAGGTAATCAAAGCAGGAATTGTAAAAATGAATTTCAAGTTTTCCAGAAGTTTAAAGTGCTCGGTTATCTTTTCTGGTGTTGTCATCCGAGAGAAATCTGGTTTAACCCTTTTAATGGTATATATGTTAAATTTCCGCGTTAAATTATGTAAAAATAACAACAACTCCATCATCTTAAACTACATCTTATCAGCATCAAAGTTTGTCTTCTGATATTGTTTCAATCGTGAGTTCCCTTGTGGCAAACATAATGAGCGTAGCTGGTTTTATTTTGAGTTGGTGAAGTCTAGTTGTCATCTAAAGATCAATGTGTTTTTGTTGCTATATATGGTGATATCTGTTTAATTGTGCCTTTTTACCTCTTCTTTCTCCCTCAACAGGTGATCCGCGTCTACATCGGGTCATTTTGGTCCCATCCTCTGTTGATCCCAGACAACAGGAAGCTGTTCGAAGCAGAAGAGCAGGACTTATTTAAAGACATTCAGTCTTTACCGAGAAATGCAGCGCTTAGAAAACTCAACGATCTGATCAAGAGGGCAAGACTAGCCAAGGTAGAAGACACTCACTGATGGAGAACCTGCACAGCTGTGGCTAAAAGTATCAAGTCTTTGTTTTGGGATGTTATTTGACAGTGATGCGTTTAGATTTTCAGCACAGGGGTGTGTGTGTTTTTGTGTTTCCCTTGTCTTCTTCCCATCACTCAGTCCCCTCCCCGCCCAGTCCAGCTGTTAACCTTGACAGAAAAAGTGTGTTGCTGTCACAGAACCAGACTTATTTGGCTTCTCTCCTCTCTCTGAGTGAATTGTTTCCTGTTTCCTCACCAGACAGGAAGTCAGGTATAAGAGGCGACAGTTCGCTGCCCGTTGTAGTTCAAGGAAAACGTAGAGGATGTATGCGTGCACACACTGAAACAAACACAAACAGATTTATCCAACTGACAGTGCAGCGCAGCTTTCCTGTTTGACAGCTGATGGGGTGCGTGCATGTTTTTGGGATTTGCTTCAAGGATACAAGGTGGATTCAAGGAAACACACCCCTGTCACCACAGCAACATAACACATGGGGTTCTCCATTCATTTTGCTATGTTTGTTTTGTTTGGTTATCATCCTAAAGAGTTTTATCTAATCAGGCCAAAGAAACTGAAATCTTGAGGTTTTTAAACTTTAAATATTCTAAATCTAAGAGTCAAACTTGTTGTCTTAGTAACTGTTGTTGTTAAGTAAATGACCATCTATCCCTCTAACAATACAGGTCCATGCCTACATCATCAGCGCTCTGAAGAAAGACATGCCCGCTGTGTTCGGAAAGGAGAACAAGAAGAAGGAACTGATTGGCAGTCTGGGAGATATTTACAAACGCATTGAAAGAGAGCATCAGATATCACCGGGAGATTTCCCTAATCTGAAGAAGATGCAGGTAAAGAGACAAAGGAATGCAGATTTATAAATGTTGGTTTGGATAGATTTGGATCTAAACTTGTGGTTTGTCTTTTGTTTTGCCGATTCCAGGACCTACTCCAATCTCAGGATCTCAACAAATTCCAGCCTCTGAAACCCAAACTCCTGGAGGCAGTGGACGACATGCTGAGCCACGACATCGCCGGCTTAATGGTTCTGGTCCGCCAGGAAGAAAACCAGCGTCCCAAACCCGTTGTGAAAGGTGGAGCGTTTGACGGCACTTTGGACGGCCCGTTTGGCCACGGGTACGGAGAAGGCGCCGGCGAAGGCATCGACGACGCAGAGTGGGTGGTCGTACGAGACAAACCCGCCTACGACGAGATCTTCTACACGTTGTCTCCCGTCAATGGAAAGGTGACAGGTGCCAACGCCAAGAGGGAGATGGTGAAGTCAAAACTGCCCAACACGGTGCTGGGAAAGATCTGGAAGCTGGCAGACATCGATAAGGACGGGATGCTTGACGATGAGGAGTTTGCGTTGGCCAATCACCTGATCAAAGTGAAACTGGAGGGACACGAACTGCCATCGGACCTGCCCGCACACCTGGTGCCGCCCTCCAAGAGGAAAATATCTGAGTAAATGTATGATTACATCATTCCCTGCCCCAATAACCTGTAAGTAGACCCATCCCCTCCACCCAGAGAAAAGTATCAAAGTAGAATAGAAATATTCCTGTAGCATTATAGCAAAAAAAATTTAACAAAATTAAACCACGTTTCCAACTCACAATGTTGCTCTGCTGCTGCCATACATGGGCAGACTTTCATTAGCTTCAAGAGGCAAATAATAAAGCTAAATATTCAGTTACATTCAAATAATGAACATGAATGCTAATCAGCTGTTAGCATGTGAATTCAAATGCTACATGTCTGCAGTGTTGCAATAGCTTTTACCATGGTAGAAAAACTGGATGGTAATGAGTTCTCCCATTTAAGTATTTGGCTTTTAAGGGTGAGATATCTGGAACTGATAGGCAGGACAGGTGTTCGAGTGAGAGCAAAGCTAGAAAAAGATATGAAAGGATATTAAAAGTCTAAAGTAAGAAACACTGGAATACAACTTAATGTAAGGTAATCCAAACTACTGGAAGAAAATGGGAGAAATACGCAACAATGTGAAGACGAAAAGAGAGTTGGAAGGATCATTCCACGGCATGTAAAAATGCAAATTATTATTGTATGTATGGTAATGAATACAGATAACTCATGTTTGACTGCAAAGTTAAAGTTCCCTTATCTCGTGGTATTGTTCAGTCTTGAGGTGCGGCTGAGTTTTCTGGCTTTTGTTTCATGGCGCAGATTAAAAAGGCTCCAAGGAATATCTGGCAATTGCTCGAGATACACAAATGTGTAGAAGCACACACACGGAAAAATAACACAATTCTTATGAATTGTGTCCAGAGCAGGGAAAAGTACCTACAAACATTTGTTTTGTTATTTTAAATGTGATATGCAGATGTTGATATTTGTGTAAACCATTTTACTGTAGCACATAGATTTATTTTTCTTCTAATGGGGACAAAAACTAAGGATAACCGGTAGTTTGTTTCTTTTATGATTTTAGATCTAAATATGAACATGTTTGGAATACTGTGACTATAACATGGAACTATATAATGGGTATTGTTTCAAGTATTCAGACATACTCAGTCAAATGTTATTGTAAGGACTTTGAATGTTGAATGTGAAGGCGTTCTTGGTTCTGTGTGGGCACATCCTGAGTGACTATTGAATGACCACATGTATCACTGTCATCATTTGTAACGTATATGTATTAAGCATTTCACAGGTTATTGAGCTGTGAGTGGATTGTTGATTGAAAATGGACGAATATGTTATTTTTCACATTGTTAAAGTAAACTATTATAAAGAGAGAAAAAACACTACTTTAAATGTTTTAAAATGAAATTTGGCTTTTCATTTCATATCCAAATTGTATACATCTAATTGGATTTACTGTATGCCAGTATGTATGCAAAATTACTAACATTAGGATCTTGTTTGTGGTTAATCATAACATTAGACCAACTAAACTTGGGTTCCCATATAATAAGAAATAATCACTTTGTGTTTTACGAGTGAGTTTGAGTTCCAGAATTACTTCTGTGCCCCTCCCTCTCCGTGTGTCTCTGTGCCGTTACTGTGAATCTACTGTACATAATAAGGCTGTTTGCATTCCATGAACACAGATTGAGGAACATAATCCTCATCATCTCGAGTGCTTTATGTACTTGCTCAGATCAACAGAGTAAATATAAAAAAGGGTTATTGTTGAATGTGGATTCTCTGCATGACAAAGTCCTTGAAATTCACAAGTTGTTTTCATACCCTGACAGATTGCAACATGAAGTCTGTGTACTGGTAAATACACTAAGTGGAGACAAAGGGGTTAGTTTTTTTTCAGTTTTAAGATGGGTATGCATTTGCTAAATCTGTACTTCACTGCTTTTCTGTACATGAACAGTCCAAAAATGTAATAAAATTCATTTACTCAACTTTTTGTGTCTTATTTGGTTTGTGGTCGGAGCAATCTGAGCAGTTAGTGGCATTATTTTAAGAAAGAAAAAAAAGACTACCTACATTTTTGTATATATAACTGAGCTGCTTTATCCAAGTCAGCCATGAGAAAAATAATGCAAATAGATGCAGCACATTTTTCTTTGAATAGGCGGTGAGAATAATAACCACTTCGCAAACTGTTAAAGATTCTTATTTTGGGAATTTGTCTTTTCCACTCTGACAGGTAAAAAAGGGACTGATGATGGAAATTAAGATGATATATTAAAGGTGGGGTAGGTACGTTTGAGAAACCGGCTCGAGATACACTTTTAGTTATATTCCATGGAATGCTCTTAACATCCCGATAGCAATGAGTGCTATGACAACAAATCCATAAACAAAATGTCATCTGTGGAAGCCGTAGTACTGTAAAAAGCACGACCAATCATTTTAGCCGGCCGACTAAAATAACTGGATGGCCTACCTGCCTGTCAGCCTTCCATCTGTGCACAAACTTATCTCGTGCCCTCATTGGTTTTATTGGTAAAACTCGGGGTTTCCGGTCCTACGAAGCTGGTTCTCTTTTTAGCGGGCTAGATCTCCATGGTGACTTATCCTGGAACCTAGCCTGTGCTCCGAAGCCGGATAGGTTCCAGGATAAGAGATCAACTCAGCGAAAGCACCACGCCTGCTGACCAATCAGAGCTCAGTATGCGGAGGAAATACATTTTAAACTGCCGTTGCAGGAAAGACGGCCGGACAAAATTTCACCGACTGTGTGAACGTGAAAATGAATAGAACATCACCTCCCATCTTCAGAGCAATCTGACTATTATAACTATTATGTTAAGAAAGCTTAATTAAATATCTGCCACAACATAAGTAACCGGATCAAAGTAACATTACGTTGCCTACAGTCCGCGGCACTGTGAGTGCAGACGTCGATATGTCCCATTTCAGGGTTGCCAACTCTCACGCATCTGGCGTGTAGTGTTGCCAACTCCATAGTAAGGAAAGTAGCTATTGGCTGTCCGAAAAGTCGCCAGAAGTCGCTAAATGACGTCATCTTCTAATTTGCATATCATGTAATGGCGGCTGTAGGAGAGAGCATGGTAGAGGGGAATACAAAAAACGTTCCCAACTCTTCAGGGATCAAAACTTGAAACCACCCGAGTTAAATCCAGACGACAGTAGATCAGAAATGTCTCTATTCTGCAAGGTAAAATTACTTTTTTGCTTCCCCGTCTTAAGCAGAACATAACTCAGAATTCTTGCTAGTACTCTTTTCTTTTTTTAAACATGTTAAGGACTACAAATTACCTTTCTTCTGTTGATTCTTTTTATATCTTTATTTTGTTTTTGCCATTGAAATACACCTAATCTCAACAATTATTTAATTACTTTAATGGTTTGTCTTGACCCGCATTACATAAATCACATTTGTTCCAATGTTAAATGCTAGAATATTCAATGGTGGAATTGCTAGCTATACATCCAACCCTCTTCTTTTATCCGGGCTTGGGACCGGCAAAGTGACCCAAAAGAGACACTCTGGCAGAGTTACTTATTTTTTTTTCTTTTATAGTTTTTTTTGTGTGGGTTTTCTTAAGTTTGGTTTACTTTCTAACCATATGCTCCACTTAAGAGCATAAAGTCAGAGAAAGACATGAACACTTTTGCCATTACTATTACATTTAAAAAAAAAAAATTTTACTTACGTTTTTTAAAGTTTTATTTGGGGTTTACAAACCATATGCCCCACTTAGGTGCCTACAACAAGTCAGAGAAAAACATGAACATTTTTGCCATTACTATAACGTTTTTAAAGAGTTTTCTTTGGGGTTTACTAACCATATGCTCCACTTAGGAGCCTACAATACACTAAAACTTGAACATTTGTTGTTGGTTTTTTTCAGACCCCCCTCCACTCACACTGTGCTGGCTCACAGAAAGAGCATGTCATCATTTTGGTCAAGGCGTTCTATGGCAGGTTCAGCAACTGAGGGAGCTGACTTAAATGAGTAAGCAGATGATGTGCCAAAAAGCTGCAAAACGTCATCAGGCAGCTTGTGCTCATAGCAAGCATCACCAGACAGCTTCAGACCATATCGGACATAAAGGATGGAGTTCAGGGTCTGCAAGGACATCCGGTTTCTGAGTTTGCTTTTTACCACACTCATCTGGCTGAATAGTCTCTCGACTTCAGCATTCGAGTGTGGCAAGGACAGCACAGACACAGCAGCCATGGTAAGTTCATGAAATGGATTGTTATCAGCTGCATCCCTGAACTTCCAAACCTCAACCCAGAAGCCCAATGTGTTCTTTGTTTCATTCCACTTTCTCAGATGGATGGAACGCCACTGCTGGACAATCTTGTCTATATCTGCAGGAGAGTAGCCAAGGAGCTTGGCTATTTTTTCGATTTCTCCCAGGCTCTTACTGTGATTTAGAGTTTTCTCTACATTGAAAACGGACATGTACTGCAATGCCTCAATATTGTCTGGCAGTCTCAATCTCAACTCGTGAGTGAGGGAGATGGTGAAGGCTACACACCGCTTTCGGACCTGGTTCTTCTCCTCAGGCGCAAGAAGGAGCTCAGCTGCCTTGGACTCAAAAAGGTAACCAAGGTACGGTGAGGGACTAATGTATCCATCAATTGGCTCTTTGAGAACATCAATATTGGCAAGTGGATTCAGCACCCTGCTACTCACAGACTTGATCAGGCTAACCAAGCTGTCAAGTAGCTTCAAAGGATCCACCTGCTCTCCCTCAAAAGCCTTGATCGCCAACTGCACCTCACCCAGCACCGACTTTAAAAAAGTGAGGTACAAAATGTTCTGAGGATCACTGTACATGGAGTACCCGTATGTGTGTGTGAAAGAATAGCCTGTACTTCAACATCAACGAAAGTGCTCGATATACTTTATTACTGCACTGGTAAGGTAAAATTAGGCCGATTAATAAGATGTGAAGTGCTTTGTAACTTTGACCTGCTTGACACAACACACAATGAAGAAAGAGTTTTATCTGGGCTGCCAGCTGCTCCCCCGGGACCCGAAAGTGGCGTAGGCTATATATAGCCTGTACTTCAACGAAAGTGCTCGATATATGCTATATTGAACCAATAAACTAACACAAACTAACTGTATCACTATAACATGATGATGATGATGGTGATAAAGAATGCATCTAACGTTCCGCTGTTCATTATAATAAAAAAACAGCGCATTAAACAAACCATCATGCTCTTACTTTGAAATCATGCGGAAATGTCCTCATCAGCGGGCCATCACGTGGTTTCCGAAAATAACCGAGTGACACGAGTAGATTTTAGCCGAGACCGGCGGAAAATATGTCTCAAAATTCCGTGTGTGTAAAAAGACGATCCACAAGCAGAAATGTGAGATCCGCGAGCAGAGATTTGAGATCCGCAAGCGCATTTTTGGTCGACAAATACAAAATGGATTCACAAATGCCTGATCGAAAGTTGTAAATGTTAAAGAGATATTCAGATCTTTTTTTTATTTGTGAAAATATTTAGCGTATTTGCAGATCCGTTTTACACTTGCAAATGTATTTGTGAGTTTGCAAATCTTTTAAATGCATTTGTGGATGGTGTTTTGCATTTACAAATCACATATTTACACACAAATTATTTTTATGTTTACACAAATAATTATGAGACATATCTATGCCCATAGGAGTGTGACACACGCTTTCACTCTCAATCTCACGCTCTCACGCTGCCCAAACTATTCTCACGTCAAAACAAGAATACCGAAGACTAGAAACGGTTTTGAAAACTTTTGTCACGTAGTAATCGTCTTCTCAATAGAACATCTTTGATAATGTCTTCTGGCCAATCAGAATCACGATAACGGCGTGGTGTTCTTGCAGGAAGTCCCGACGGAGAATACTTTTGCTGTAGTACATCGATACAACATTACGTGTTGATAGAAATCAACACGTAATGAAATAAGACCCCACGGTTTGATGATTGATAGGTGTGTGGGCTGTCTTTCATTTTGACACACAGAACAATGGGGGCTATCCACCCTTATCCACAATGTAAAGTCATTCACAGCCTCTTCTCTCTGAGGTGCAGCAGGCTCAGCTTTCAGAACAAAGTAACACAAAACTAAAATGGCATTCATTTTTTTTTTAAATATGTCGTGTAGTAATAGATGTATTTATTTTTCTTCTCCAGAGAGTACCAGAATGTGTATTTTATGTTAGTATTTCAAAAAATCTCCTGGGGGAGAATCCCACAGACCCCCCTGCAGGGGTTGGGTTTTCAGCATGTGGGGAAATTGCAGGATTGGCTCCAGGTCGCCCTTTTTATTTATTACAAGACAAATGTGCCAGTGGCAGTTCTAGACCAATTTGACTGGGGGGGCCACTGGCGGGCCAGTTATTTGCTGAGGGGGGCACAATAAATGCAGGACGAAAAAGAGAACTAGACAGTATGAAGTAATTGCGCACAAGAAAACAATGCAATACAGTTATTGGTATTTGTTTCAGTACACTTATTTATTTCAGATAGATCTTATAGTTATTACTGTTAGCTTCAGCTTAAGTTATAGTGCAATGTTTGCACTAACACCATATTTATATAAGAATAAAGGCAATGAACAGTTACATCTACATAAGGGTGTCTGCACAATCTCACATTACAGCAACAAAATCCTGCGGTTTTTGGCAAACCGAGTACCAGAAAATGTACATTTAAAAAAAAAAAAAAAAAAAGCTTTTCATTGTTAGGGGGGTCAGAGGTCAGTGTTATGGGGGGCACTGGCCCCCCCTGCCCCCCCTAGAACCGCCCCTGAAATGTGCCTTTTTATTTCATACAGTTCAATTTGGATTGAGACAGGGAAATAATCTAAACCTCACGCGTGGCGTTTCACTGTCAAGGGGAGCGTGTATGTATTTACATTGCAAATACTGATTTGAGCCCCACCACCACTGTATGGGTTAGCCGGCCCTACCATAGATTACCCAACAAAAATACTCCGTGGCCGCCACTGCCCCCCCGTATTGCGCATGCGCAGATCTAAGATCCAGTAGAAATGAATAGGCCAAAATAGAGTCAAAGAGTATGAGAGTGTGTTAATTAATATATTTGGCAGTTTGGAGTAAGTCTGTAAATGTGTGTGTGTGTTTCATGTATAGGCATCTCACGATAATTAATTTTGTTGGATACATTTTCCCGGAAATTATTGCGATAAACGATAATATTGTCGGCACCGTTGTATGACAATTTTAGACCACTAACATAATGATAATATATAATAATAATTAAAGTACATCCTTTCAAACTGCTAGTCACATCCTCATGTAAATGGCAATTTATCGAGTTCATTTTTATTTATCGTACGATAAGTCAATTAATTGCTTATCGCGACAGGCCTATGCACACATAAAACAGTGGAAACAAACATGTGTTTGACTTTTATTAGTGAATGAAACTGTGTGCCCTTTATAGTCTGTGTCCAATATTGTGTATTTGTATATATTGTATATATATATCCTATATATATGCTAAGGTCCCGCTACTGACACGATGGCAGTCATTTCGTGCGCATATGTGTAATCAAACCCATGATATCAAAATCTCACTCCAGCCAGGTACCCAAAGTTGGCAACCCTGCCCATTATCATTCATATCACATCATAATGTATCATATTATTTCATTATCTGAGTCAGCTGAGCCATATCTGGCTGTGCAACACTCACAGTGTTACGGTGAGTGAAGCAGGCAGGATCCAAATGCAGAAAAAACTGAAAATACCTTTATTTCAAGGATATGGCACACGGACAATCAGAACACTCCCCGGTGAACACAGACAACGACGAACCAACACTGAACACAGGAAGAGACAAGACTAAATACAGGGAGGGGTAATCACAAGACGAGAAACAGCCGGGCAGGGGAGGAGAAACACAAGGGCCACAGGTGAACACAATCAGACAACTAGACACACCAGGGAAACTAACGACAGGAGGAAAAACACAGGAAAAAGGACCAGACAATATACCAAGAGGAAAACATGACAGGGACAACAGCAAAACAAGACATACAAAACGTGACATAACACAATAATCGTAACAGAACCCCCCCCCTCAAGGGACGGATTCCAGACGTCCCTAAAACACCAAAACAGTCCAATAAACGTCCAAAAAAAAACAATGTCCAGCAGGGTGGGTGGAGGGGGACCGGAGGAGGGACACAAAACTAGGGCCACCAAGGTGGGTGGAGGGGGTCAGGAGGACGGGACTGAGCTGACCGCCCAGGGGCACAGCAGAGGACCAGGAAGGGATCTCGGGCGGACGGCCCAGGGGCAAGGCAGAAGCCGAGAAGGGGGACTCGGGTGGACGGCCCGGGGGCAAGACAGAGTCCAAGGTGGGGGTTATGGAGGGGCGAAGGCCGCGGCCGGAGCATGAGGGCGAGGACCGCGGCCGGAAAAGTCAGGGGGCCGAGCATGAGGGCGAGGACCGCGGCCGGGAAAGTCAGGGGGCCGGGCTCGAGGGCGAAGACCAGACAGCTCCGGAGGCCGGGCAGGAAGGCGCTGACGGGCCAGCGCCGGAGGCCGAGCAGGACCCGGTGTCGGCCGGACAGGAACCGGAGCTGGTGGGACAGGCCTCGGCAGGATCCTCCACGGAAGAGGACCATGACACGGGATTGGCAGGACCCCCGGCAGGAGAGCAGTCGGCGGGACCTCCAACGGGATAGGACATAGGGTTGGCAGGACCCCCGGCAGGAGAGTAGTCGGCGGGACCTCCAACCGGACTGGACATGGAGCCGGCAGGACCCCCAACGGAACCTCCATCGGCACAGGACATAGGGTTGGCAGGACCCCCGGCAGGAGAGTAGTCGGCGGGACCCCCAACGGGACAGGACATAGGGTTGGCAGGACCCCCGGCAGGAGAGTAGTCGGCGGGACCTCCAACGGGACTGGACATAGGGTTGGCAGGACCCCCGGCAGGATAGTAGTCGGCGGGACCCCAACGGGACTTCAGTAGGAACTTGAGTAGGGACTGGAGAGGGAACTGGAGAGGGGACTGGAGAGGGGGCTCGAGAGGGGGCTTGAGAGGGAACTCGAGAGATGACTTCAGAGGGTACTAGAGAGGAAACTGGAGAGGGAACTAGAGAAGGGACTAGGGAAGGGACTAGAGGAGGAACTAGAGGAGGGACTAGAGGAGGGACTAAAGAAGGGACTAGGGAAGGGACTAGAGGAGGGACTAGGGAAGGGACTAGAGAGGGGACTAGGGAAGGGACTAGAGGAGGGACTAGAGGTGAGACCTGAGAAGGGACTAGAGGAGGGACTAGAGAGGGGACTCGAGAAGAGACTAGAGAGGGGACCAGAGAAGGGACTTGAGTTAGGACTCGAGAAAGGAGAAAGGAATAGAGTGGAGACTAGAGAAGGGACTTGAGATGGGACCTGAGGAGGGACTAGGGAAGGGACTAGAGAAGGGACTTGGGAAGGGACTAGAGGGGGAACTCGAGAAGAGACTAGAGAGGGGACCAGAGAAGGGACTATGGCAGCTGGGGCCAGAGCTGGGTCTGGAACAATGGCCGCTGGGGCCGGAACTGAGGCCTGGACCATGGCTGCTGGGGCCAGAACTAGGTCTGGAACCATGGCTACTGGGGCCGGCACCATGGTTGTATGGGCCGGTTCTGGAGCCGGAAACATGGCTGTAAGGTCCGGTTCTATAGCCGGAAACATGGCTGTAAGGTCCAGTTCTGGAGCCGGAAACATGGCTGTAAGGTCCGGTTCTGGAGCCGGAACCATGGCTGCTGGGGCCGGCACCATGGCTGCTGGGGCATGGGCTGGAATCCTGGCCCTACGTCTCCTACAGGCCCCTTGGAGACACCGTGGACCTCTACCAGTACAGTAGTCGGATCCAGGGGCGGACTGGGACTAAAATTCAGCCCTGGAAACTGACCCAGTCCGGCCAAATGAAATGTCAAATGTTAGAAATCCGCTGTTTATTATTTAAAGTTTTACATCTGATTCGCTCCTTTTTTCCTCTCTGTACACAGCTCCAGTTTGGGCATTGGCCTGTCATCAGATTTCATTTTTAGTTGCTGCTGTAGCGGAAGTTTAGTAAAATTATTTTTGATGAAATACTCCAAATCTCCACCCTCCATAATTGCACTTGCTTCAGTTGCTTGCTACTTTTTAAGGGCAGTGATGACA